AAGTAACTCACCTCAAACGGAACATTCAACATGTTTCATGAGCTTTGTAAGTTTATATTAACAACCATTAAAACTGATCTTCGTTATATACATTTAATTTCAATCTCACATCTCCGAATAACGTAACGTGTTTGTCGAAAATTTTATAATTTATAACGGACAACGCAAGTGACTCATGTTGACGGAATACTTAACATATTAATTACACATATGTATTGCTGAGGAGGACTCCAAAGTGAGTCGAAACGTTCAATAAAGAGGATTCTATTTTATGATTAATTAAGATTGAAATTAATCGTTGGCACCTTCATCAGCCCGTGACTCGTATGACCTTTACGGATTGTGTTATTATTATTTTTACATTTATCAATGTTGCCTTTGAAAATCGCGCTGCATTTTGGACAGATTCCTGATTGGTTGGCTTATTGCTTGGCCACCATGATGCGCGTTGGTTCACCTGTCTTATTACATCATGATCTATTCCAAATTATTCCAATATAGCTAACTCTGACCACAGTATACACAGTAGCGCAACTCTCTGTCGGCACCTTTGATGTTAGCGTGGATAAAAATGAACTGCACATGCGCGAGCGAGGTATGTAACCAATCAAGGCATTGATATTCCATCTCACTTCTCTCCATTGTAACCTTTTCTCTTTTTCTACTTTATTGCATAAGGTCCGTTCTTTTTCCACTGTAAGTTCTGAACTGGTGTACACTGATGCAATAAGTTCAGAACTTTCGAAAAATAACAGACCTACACAATATACATTATATTTAAAACAGAAAATAAAATAGAAATGAAACATGATAGATATACATTTATTTCTCAGGAAATATAAGGAGATTTGTACTTATACTTAACCTTTTTTTATTTGCAATGACAGTTAGAGTTACAAAATATAAACGCAATAAGAGAACTAATAATAATATAGCAATCCGTTTTATTTTAACTGATCGATATTACTTAATCTCCAATTTGAAATATTCTTCCTTTACTGTTAAAAAAACGGTGTTAAATTTATTTCTTAAATTTCTTCTTATATTTGTCAGATAAAGTCCAGTTATTCGACTAATTCAATTTACTATATCTCAAATCACAACAATATTAAACCTGTTAAATGTTATTTTAAAAAACGAATAAAAAATGACTGCGTTCAGCGTTTATTTCGCAAATGTTGGAAGTTTTCTTTGCGCTGATTGTATTATACTTTTAGATCTAAAGGATTGGTGGATTCTATCTTAGCACACAATCATAAAAATGGTTTCAAAACTGTTGTGTTCCGCTGAAACGTACCTATTACGTTAACTAATTGATAATAGCTGCATTCAACAGAGAAAACTAATCAGTTATAATTAATCAAAACTGTCACTTTCTGTTAAATGGCTATTTAAATCTCTTATATGGACATTTTAACGGTGCAGACAGACAGCGACAATAAAGAGAAGAAGCGAGATGGAATATAAGTGCCCTGATTGGTTACATACCTCGCTTGCGCATGTGCAGTTCATTTTTATCCACGGTGAAATCGTGAGAGTTGCGCTACTGTATATACTGTGCTCTGACTTACTCTGCCTCCCACTACTCGGGGCTCTACAGAGTTGACCGCGTAAAGTTTTGGAACGCATCCCAGGGAATCAATTGTGTATCTTGAAGGCTGCGGTCCACTTGACGCTACAAACGCTTCGAAACGTTTGAGCGACCAATCAGAACAAAGAATTTTACGAATTGACTAATCAAATAATGCTTCGAAGCGTTTGTAACATCAAGTAAACCGCAGCCGAAATGAGGTGAAAATTATATATATATATATATATACAAAAGTGAGCAAATTTACCAGAATATTCATAATTTAATTGGTCAATATCTAATGTATTTGCTCACTTTTGTAATTTTCACCTCATTTCGAAATACACAATCGACCCCCAGGGATTGGACACATTCAAGCTGGACAAAGCTGCTAGCCTGCTCATCAGGGTTGAGCACGTATCAAACTTAACGTATATTATACGTGGTTTCATACATGAATGAAACTATGTATAATACATCGTAGGTTTCAGCCATGTAGTAAATGACGCTTCACCGTTTGCACTTTACAGTGTTCGCGTTGCTTGAAATCCTCAAATTTTTTAACTTAAAATAAGATAGATATATGTTTGGGCGTTGAAAAGAGTGAAAGCGAAGTTGCTGAGTGGAAAAGTACAAGCAATGCGAGCAGATCCAAAAATACCATGACTGTGTTCCAAATTTACTGCCAACACTGAAAATGCGACAGTTTACGTTACGTGCACTATAGATTTTCAGTACAGGCATTCAATTTTGGAACGTAGCTCATATATCACTATAAGGGCCATTGTCACCAAGCTCAGTTAACTTAACTGGTCAGTTAAGCCTTAAGCTTATATAATGCGGGGTCTACAATAGAAGTCGTAGCAGTCATAGGGTCTTAAGTCTTAAAAAATTGACCAATCACAGTCGAATATGAGAAGAATAATCAACTGTGATTGGTCAATTTTCTACGACTTAAGACCCTACGACCGCTACGACTTCTATTGTAGACCCCGTATAAGAAATGGACGAATCACAGTCGATTATACTCCTCGAATTCGACTGTAATTGGTCAATTTCTTACGACTTAAGGCTTAAAACACCTATTGTAGATCCGGACTAAGCCTAGCATAGAGTTGTTGAACCAATAAGAATGTGTGTGAATCAAAATGATAACTTTAAGGTGAATATTAATTGGTCCAGTGTCCAATTATACAGTGCTCACTGTGTTGTTATGTTGTATTTCATGTGAGATGAGAGTTTTAGAATTTTAACGTATATAATACACGTTTTACACGTTTTATACGTATTATACGTTTTATACATAGGAAATGTAAGAAACCTTTCGCAGCGCTAAATTTCCCAACTCTGCTGCTCATCGAGCAATTGGCTACGTTCAGCAGAACGTTTGTTTTGCAACTGTTGGAAGTTTCCTTCGCGCTAATTGGATCATACTTTTAGATCTAGAAGAATGGTCCTATCTCAGCAGACGATGGGTGCGTTCAGCAGAACGTTTGTTTTGCAACTGTTGTAAGTTTCCTTCGCGCTAATTGGATCATACTTTTAGATCTAGAAGAATGGTCCTATCTCAGCAGACAATCATAAAACGGTTGCAAAACTGTTGAGTCTGCTGAACGCAGCCATCGATTAGTTGGATGTAAGTAACAACCAATCATATTTATTTGCTTGGCGAGCAAACTTTTTTCTGATTCATTGGGCGCGTTCAAGTTGACAAAGCGGCTAGCCTGCTCGCTAAGCAAATGATCATAATTGGTTGTTACTTATAGATCCAACCAATCATATTCAATCGCTCGGTAAGCATGCCTAGCCGCTTTGCCATCTTGAACTCGCCCATTGAATATAATTTTATATTTAACAAATTATTTCTTTTTATTGAATTTTTACAATATCTTTTTAAAATTTATTAGTATTTTGTACAATATTTTTTTACTTTCGTTTGTTTTATTAGGTGCTATAGAAGAGAAACGAACAATCAACTTCCTGTTTAGTAGTCACGCGATTGGACGTTAGGTTTCTCAGTTGTCGCAATCACTTTTGAACCGCCTAGTTGTGTTTGCTACAAATTTAAATGATGAACAAAATATTGTTATGAGATGTAAGAATTAAATTGATCATTTGTTTCTTTGACTTATTATTTAATTTTGCTCTTTTGATTTTATTCAAGTTCGATATAGTATTCACAATGACATTTCAAGTTCCTGTGAAACTTTCATCGAGGAATCCTGCTGATTTGTATCCTCATGATTTACAATTGTATCAGAATGTACCCTTTGGAGAGATAACGTTAGAAGAGCTACAAGAAATAAGTGAAACTCGGCTCAAAGGTTAAATATTGATCTGAATATCGCCCCTTATTTTTCTTTATTTAGCACATTGTTATTTATATGTTAATATAATAATATTGTTTCATAATTAATGTATTTTTGTGTGTTGTAGTTCTTTCTTTGGTCGAACGTATCCATTTACAAAAACTGACAATGTCGGTGTCACAACGCAGAGTTGCCTTGGTTGAGGAGTTATGCAAACAAGGGATAGATGAATTTGCAAGATTGATTAATAGCTCGGGATGCAAATCGTGCACTGACATGGATATACGTGTCAGAAGAAGAGATCATATATCTCATTTTATGTTAAGGTCCACAGTTGCCTTCAATGAATTTAAAAAGAGCTGGTTTGTTAAGCAAGAGGCACGGTTATTCAAATGGAGATTTACTTCATTAGATAATGAGGGTATCAGACAGTTCATGTGCATTAATAATTTTGACTTTAGACCGGTTAGTTATTGGTTGTTGTAATATTTAGATGTAACTTACTTTAAATCTTGGCTTAACAATATTTTCTGTTGGTTCTAGATTAGCCAAAATGAAAAAGAAAAAATCAGAGAATATCTTCAAATGTCTTCTCCCAATATTAATGATGTTGATAACACACAATTTTATAGGATACCTTTCTTTCATGTAGCCAATTTAATTAGAAAGCGTAAAGTTTTTGTTATGCACGGCGAAGCTTTTGTACCCAAACAAGAAATGGCATTTGTGTTTGTGTCACATTTTAGGAGAATTCTTATATCAAGTTTTGAAGTATAAATGTGATTACTATGAATCTGTTAATTAACTTACTATTTTCTATTCTGTTGTTATATTTCAGGTTGCACGTGAAGCTAGAGCCAACTTGTACAATGATGAAAGGTTTACTCACATCTTTGCCTATTTAGAAAATATTCTTACTCAGAGTACTGTATTCACACGAGAACAAGGGATGCAACAATATACTTCACTCAACCAGTTGGATGAGGTGAAAATTAATATTATAAATGCTTTCGTAACTAATAATGAGACGTGATATTAAATCTAATAACAGCAATATCTTGTAACAAATTTGACATGCTAAATCTTATTTTGTAACAAATAGTTTTACTATAGCTTGCAGAAACTTCTTATCCTTTGTGTATGAGAGTGCTTCACAAAGCACTAAGGAAGAATCATCATCTTACACATGGTGGTAGAATACAATACTGTTTGTTCCTGAAGGGCATGGGACTTTCTTTGTCCGATGCAATGACTTTTTGGAAAGACGAATTCATGAAAATAATGGATGATACTGCATTTAAAGAATATAAATATTACATAAGATTCATCTTTGGGAAAGAAGGTAGTCATAGAGATTATCAGCCTTACAAGTGCCTAAGAATTCTGAAATCGATTATTGGACCTAGAGATTATCATGGATGTCCTTTTAAACATATGCTGCACGATATACTTGAAGACGAACTTACTGATTGCGGTTTTAATGCGTTGGGTAAGTATCCCAATATTAATTTTTATGTGGAATTATAAAATGAATTCTTTTATGTATTAACTAATTTATTATCTAGAGAGATCAGAAATAATGAAATTGTCCAAGGACGGTCAATATTTTGCAGCATGTAACAAATATTATGAAATTAAACATGACTGTTTTAACGACACCTTGTTTGAACATCCAAATATATATTTTAATGAAAGTATGAAACATCGCACTGCATGTCATCATGGTGAGATTTATTTGATTTTATGTATATCAAACAATTTACTATTTTGTATAAACTTTAAAATTACGTTAAAATTAAAGATTCAGAAACAGGAGATGCATTTTAGTCATCAGAATCAAAACATTTGAAGAAGTTAGAACTATTAGGACCATTGCAAGTAATATTTAATATCATCAACACAGTGTATAATGTTTTTTATACAGATCCCTGAATGTAAATATATATATATGCATATATATATGCTAATTTATTTAAAATATGAAATATTTCCAAAATAATTTCTCAAGACGGATAAGCAATTGACAGTTATTAGCTAATTTCATCTTGCTAATAATTTATTAAAGTTAATAAATAAGTTTTTAGTAACTTTTTAATTTCAAATTCAGATTATCTTCATCTTAATTACCATAATGAATGAACAATAAGCATTTCTTAATGAAAAAAAATTATTTCCAATTTCAAAGCACTTTAATTAAAATTTAATTATAGCGCTTTTAAGTTAATTTTAATAACTCATATATTAAGATTTATGAAGTGTAACGTGAAACATTGTAAAAACACGTGCAATAACACATCTTTATGCACAGTATTTTTAGTTGAGATGTACTTTAATTTATTTGAATGAAATATTTTTTTACAATTAGATGATTGAATTTAAAAACGTGTTTAATGATAACATGATTTTTTTCGTTTTTTCTTCAACAAAATAACAGGCTTAACACAAAAACAGAAAACATCACATAAAAATATTGCCACGATACAACACAGTATAATTTACTATGTTTCATGATTTTTATTCTGTAGATTGCTGCAGCGATACGTAAGTACCGAATGATATATGTATGTACATTTAAGTGACAGAAGTAACGAGCAATATTTATGTACAAGTACATCGAATTATAAACACTTAACACTCGCCACACCTTACACATTATTATCTTAGTCAATTCGTAACGTTGTACCGTTGTCTCATTAAATGCTATTTTAAGCAAGACTACATGATTGAAGAGTACGGAGAATTTTTGGCACAGTTCGTCATCTTAATAGAAATAAAACGAGTTTGTTAAATAAATCCTAAATGTAGCTTATCAAGAAATACGGAAGAAATGCTTATAATCCTCATTATAATATTGTGTCTGTAGTCAAGCAGTTGTTATACCAAAAGTTGTTTTTAATCTAAAAAATATTCGATGTCTGACGTCAAAATGATATGTGTTATGTAACACTAAGTCGATTCCCGTGTAATCCATCGTGAATCGAGTGCGTACGCAAAATTCAATTAATATTACGTTGCAGCCTGTAGCAATGTAATTATAGCCGATAATTATTGGCTTCCTATACACATACACGATAGAGAAACCATCATGCAATTTTAAAAGCGGGTTATATCACAAATTTAATAGCAGCGATGGATGCAGTAATGGATTTATGCAATACATATATTACAATTCTCTTTGTTTTTTAACAAAATCAAAATAGTTTTTATTTTATGTTCGCGTATATATTATGAACAACCACCCCTGTATACATTTGAGAAAACTAGAACTGTACTTTTCACTCTTCTGTAAATTCTTCTCATTTGCACGTTATTTTTTGTACACTCATACTTTTATTCTCTTTCACATTCTCTTCTGCGAACTCTTTATATAGAAATAAAATATGTTAGTGGGCACATCGATAAAATCATCATTTGTAACAAACAAGTCAAATTATAAAGTTTTATATTTTTTTTAATCATTTACGTATAAATATTGTTAAATATGTATATTAAAAATTTACTACATATTCCACGATTATTTTACACAGATTTGTTATTCTATCCCGATAATGACTTAAGTTGGTTAAGTAACTCCCTTTTTTCATTTTCAATGGACTCCTCTGGTATTTGAAGAAGAGCTAATAAGGATGTAATAAAGTGATCTCTAATGCTTCTCTCATTTATCAAATCATGCTCCTTGTCGGCAATGGAGATATGAACAAGAAAAAAGAGAAAGAAAAGGATGACATTGGATTAATCGTATTCTATAGGATGAGTCACGGTGTCATTGTATAAAAATCTAAACTGACCTTAAACGTGTACTAAAAAATATAATTGCTTCTGTTCAAGCGAGAGGACCGATTTATCGGTGATGGTTCCAATAAAGGTCAACCTCTGTGCGCTCGGGATATACTTTCGTTGACGCCTCCGTGACTCATTAATTCGGATCGTCAGTCGGACCAAACGCTGTTATTCTTGACGTAACGGACATTCGCTGCTACGTACGTGGAAATTATTTTTCATTAACAATGACTAAATAAATGATATTACTAATACGACAGAACACTTGCATTACCGTTGGGGTTCATCTTGCGTAAAATACAAGAACTCTATCATCGGACCGTAAGATTTCAATGCCGAAGGAAGAATTGGAGAAATAAATATATTTACTGCTTCATGTGAATCCACAACGAATTAAATGCGTCGACGGACCGACTTCCTCGCCGAGAATGAATGCTATATACTGTCAATCGCGATATGATTCACGCGCGCACACATACATTACTGATGGCAATTTGTCAAACATGCACATCGCGTATATCCTGATTACTCTGGCAAGTCCGATGCTCGTATTTGTAAGAATAATCCCATTGGCGACAAACGAAACTGAAGACCAGCCGCGGTTTGCGTTTATTGCCCGCTTGCAATGTTAAACGCGCGTAATGGTATCAATCGCAGAAGAATTTAGACGGATATCTCGTAAACGGCACACATCCTTTTCTCATTAGAGTATAAGACATGCAGATTACTCGGCGGCCCTCGTAGAATCTCCGTCCAGCCGCAGGATGGTGCGGAGACCGGAAAGGTGGGCTATACGGATATTTCATAGTTCATATCGTATACGCTTGCACGGTCCGGTGTCGGTGTAGTTGGTCTTTGAGATCTCGGATCGTTGGGTGCCGAAACCATTTCCATGGAATCGGTCATTTCGAGGGCTCTGACGAAGGACATCGGTCGACGCCGTGCATCCCCCGAGGTTGGCGTAGTTGGTGTTGCCATCGTAGTCGCTTTTCGTTTAACTTGCGGCGACTGATGTGGTTGATGTGGCGGGAAGACGGGCACTCCACCTCTCAAGGCTGGATGATACGCTGCCCTAGGAGCGTTCGTCGTGTATTGTGATTGTTGAGTCGGGCTCGTGGGATTGGAGCGATAGTAGTCGTATGGCGGAGGTCGATGGGAAGGTGATTGGTGCGCTGTACTGCTCACCGCTCCTCCAGGAGGTGGACCTGGATAGCTGCCGGGAGAGTTGTCTTTCCACATGTAAACACCGCGCTGCGGCGAACCAGCCAGTTCGCGTATATTGTCGACCGTGTTGTTGGTTCTCGAGTATGGATGATCCGTGCCCTGTCGTACAAGCTCGCTCTCTGACAGGAAACGTCGCTGCGGACTGTAACCAGTAATGACGGAACCGGGAACGCCGACTCCCGTATTTCCCTGCTGTACATCATAATACGTTGGCGCTTCATTCACGCCTATGAAATCCGGCCGACGAACCTGCGTCGGTGTACCCGGGTTTGATCTGTAACAGACACAACGGATCTTAGATCTCACGGATCTTCCACGACGCAAGATGCTTTCAATAATCGACAAATGCACAGTACAGTGAACCAAGATGAATATGCAAGTGCTTGAGCATTGTAGCCATACAAATACGGCTCTGGCGAGACATACAGGAGAGAGAGCAGCGCATCATTCCTGTTAAGAATTTAGCATCTATTCAAGAAACATAAAAGATAGCGAACCTAAGAAATATGTGTGTAGGAGCATCTTGTGTAATGTGTGTATGTATGTGTATGTGTGTATGTATGCCATATGTGAATATATTTTTACAACCATGTTTTTCTATATATACAAAGATATATGCAAGAAAGCATAATTGTAAACTACGGTATGTCCTCGTAGGATGAAGTTCGTGTTTACCTGCAGTAGGTTGCAACATGATGGTAGAAAGCAGCTCCTTGCAGTTACCACCCCCTGCAGTGGGACACAAACTTATCTATATACCATATATCTTGTAATATATACATGCAGAGAGACTAATCGTCTACAATATTTATTGTAAGCTACATTGCGCAATTTTCCTTTTTGACACGTTCCTTCGTCCTCCGGAAGGCGAGAACAGTGGTGACAGAAAAGGAGGAGAAAGAAGAGCAAGAGTGAGGTGTTTAACAGTGAGGGACAGGAGATTTTGACAAAACAGGCCGACATCATATCGAAGGGTAGCAAAAAGGATATCATAAGAGGAATATCGTTCACTTTGTATTGGCAGCGTGCTCAAGAGATGCATTGTAACTATTACTAGTGTGGCGCTTCCCTCTTGCTCTCTACATTGAGATAATTTTGTGCAATGTGAAAATCGCGATATATATATATATAATTAAAGGTACATAATAAATCTGAAATTGTATACAAGTATTTGAATATAATTTCATATAAGAATCGATCAAATGTAAGTACTCAGTCAATCAATCCTTCATTTTTTTTTGTATCACGTGTAAATGTGTTGATATTAGAAGGTATTTCTTCAAATATATATCGGATTAATAAATACTTTGAGTTTTCTTTCAGTAATGCACAAGTATAACGTACCTTCGTATGGGACTGGATATGGCAAGCGGAGTGGGTACTCCAATAGCTTTGATACGTTGTTGCATCGTTGGGCTGGCACCACCTTGACGTTGAGGGACCGTGGCTGGCGAACCACTCGTCTCCGGTGATAACGGGTCAGGTGTGTGACTTCGAGATCCGTTCATCCCTCTATGAACATGATGAACATAAGTACTATGCTAGAACATTTTGCATGTTGAAAATCTTGTCACTATCTATTGCAAATACCTTGGCCTTGGATGTGGACTGCCTCTAGGATAATGTATTGGATGGCGAAGTTGCGACGGTGGAGGATGCCTAGGAGATTCGTTGTTCTCCACAGGTGGCAGGAAGAAATTACTTTTAGAACCGTGTCTTTGCAATGGCGGCGTAGGTTCGCAGTCTGCAGATTGAGACGCTGTTGGTTCCATATCTGTGTCCGATCCGTCTCGTCCAGGTGATAACTATAAAGAAGAACCAACAACATCATGGATCGAAGAAAGATATATCAAACAAAAAAAATACATTTCTCTCTGCAATATACAT